TTACAGTGGAATTATATGGTACTGATGTAGTAATTTATGATTTTTTGGTTATTCAACTGTATATATAATACCTAAAAAAATTATTTTGTTTCATATCCTCCATATGCAAAATTTTTAAAGGCTTAGCAACCTATGTCAATCAGCAACCAAGTACAAAGGTTGTAACTAGAAGAGATAATTGTTTGCTTTACTTCTTTAGTTACTATTCTAACTTTTAAGAAAAATAAGTTTGAGAACTTATTTCTAAATAGCAACAATCTACATATATAATGTATAATAATTGAAATGTGACTGTATTTTACAAAATACTAGTCTACTAAAACACAGCCAAGACAAGTTACTTTGTAAAGATTAAAGGTCAGTTTTATATTATTGGATACGGTAACATGAGTGCATGTGCACAATATCATTGTAACTTCTGTATTGTTAGCCAGGCATGGCTGAAAGGTCAATACAATAAAAATAATAAATATATAAAAATGTATAATGTTATAAGATTTAAGCTATTTAGTTTAAACATTTATGTTTTCATGTTATAAGTTGTAGTCAACCTAGAACGAAAAAGGCAGAATTTATATTTATTTCCTAATTTTTTCATGTTGGTTACGAGACCAGTCAAATTGATCAAACCCATACAGAGAATTGTTACTGAAAATAACAGATAAAATATAATGTTTGTTTCTTAAGAAATGTTTGATAACTATCTGAACATTATAAAGATTTTGTATGTGAAATTTGAAAATTTTATGGTTCACAAAAGTATTTTTAATCTTAAAATGAAAATTACTTTGCACATGTTGGATAGGCAACATGCAAAAAAAAAGCATGAAAAAAATTGCTTTACAAACCCTAAGACTTAATAAGAAAATCTGATATTCTGTGTATTGTAATGTTTACTGATAATGTGCAACATGTTAACATATGCTTACTAATTTAAAAGTTATAGCATGAAAAATACTAGAAGCACAGGGACCGAACCTGTGCCGAAAGAGTCAAATAATTTACAATAATTTTTATAACCATTACAGAATAAAAAGGTAGTAATAGCAATGGCATAAGCTCCACCCATGTTAAACACGTTTACACAACAAATTAAAATTTATCAAGCATTTCTGAAGCTAACAATGCATTGTTTCTTTAACGATAACAAGTGTGGCAACCCAAAACAAAAACAGTCTTCACCATTGACAAAAACAACACTGTACTGAAAAATGACTCAAAGATATTAAAAAAAAAAAACTAACTTGTCTTTACAAGAAGTAAAGATTTCCTCCACAAGCTTTAAATCATTTAACTGCATAGCCAGTCTTAAAGCCTCAGGATAACGATTGTACTTCCGGAAAAGGGATAGAGCAGTCTTTAGAAGATAAGTGTTTTCAGGTTCAGGAACATAGGGAACACAGCTAAAAAACAAATACTTTTAAGCATGTAACAAAGTCTTGAAACATATAAAGGTTTTAGTATTAATAGTTTCAGTTCCTACGAAACACTAAATAAAACAAAACATATTCTGGGTTAATTCACAAAAAATAATTAATGTGGTTGAATTCTTAAATTACTTTTAGTATTACTTTGAGAGTTTTTCACCAATAAACACCAAATCTACTTTTAGATAAAACTAGAATGAAGATATTCTGCATGCAATTTTTGTCATATTGTAAAACAAAAAATTGTCAAAAAAATTTGCATATTAGTTATGTTATGAAAACTAAAAAAATACAATTACTAAATTGTTGAGGCATTATATGACCATTCTTGTGCATAGATTTCATAAAATAAGCAAGAACATTCAACATTTAAAAATTGACAATAATTTACTGTGTAAGTTAAAAGTAAAATATACAACTAAAAACTCTACATGTTTCGGTGTAAGAAGCTCCACCATCTTGAGACGACCAAAAGAAACACATTATACACTGATTGGAAAGCATATTCTATATATATTAATAATTTGTAAATAAGGTATCCTAAAATTTTTTTTGGAAACAAATACACCAATGAGTTTTTAAGCAGTAGAAATTATAAAAATAATTGAGCGGCTTTCTACTAAATAATTTTTTTTAAACTTCCATTAGTGGATCAAAATAATGTTCAATAATAAGTAATGTTGCACTTGTACAACAACAATAAGCAGAGCCTTTCACTTCCATCATATATCAATTATTTGTAATTTTTCGACCATATCTTGAAACAAAAGAAACTGTATTCTATTGTAATAGAAATTAGAAATCACCAGCAACCAATAATAATTATCTAGATTGATGCTTTAATGCCCTTTTGTATCGAGAAAGATTAACAAAGTAGGCTTTAGGAAAATCTTAGCAGAGAATTTCCGATCTACATGTATAACTATACATAGCTTTATAACAAGCTAACTAACTTCGACTGACCTATACAAAATCAAATTAAATATTCATTGCATGAATTAACATGTTTAGTTTTTCTTATTTACCATCAGTTTCTAAGTAATGGTTTGATCACCATCTGTGCTGGGTATTTTAGGATAATTCATAAAACTTTTCAGAATTTCTTAGAGCAGAACTACTATATAAATTTCACATACTGAAACTCAACTTCCCTTACCTGGTCAAGTACAGACAGACACGAGGGTAAACATCTTCATCAACATAATTTTCAAGCACATCAAGCTGTTCAATCTCCATTAGTAAATCACATGCTTCAGCTTCTGCATTATGTGACATATGATATGGTACTATTTCTTTTGCAAGTTTCTCTAAGTGTTCCTTTTCAGTACTTTTTTCAGTCAGTTCTCCCCACTCTTGTGCAATTTCTCCTGCTAAGTGTCTAGTATATTGGAAAAAATTTTGCCATGAAATTTCTGCATCTAGATAGACAAAGTTATAAAACACTGAAATTCACTTTTTAAAAATTTCAAACACCTTTGTTAATATGCACATAAGAACTCCTTTTAGCCATTGGACCCAACAAATCTCCAAAATGAGTACACTACAAGATGTCCAATATCTATGTACCAGCCTAATAATTACAAATTTTATATGATTGTAAGTTTTTACTGACTTTAAAACTCTAAGATTATCTATTTTTTTAAAAGAAAGAATCACGGGAAAGTGAAAGAAACAAGCCTGTTAGCCACTGGTTACTGATCTTGTAGCTCTTCTCTACTTCACAACTCTTCAAATACATGAAGCAATAAAAACCCTACAGCAAACTCCCATAATCAACA